TAAGGCTAGTCCATATGACAACATTGTAAGTCCTATTAAATTGCTGTTGTACAAGCAGAACTGCATGAAAGGAAGCTGTGGATCTGGGAGGCTTAAACTGGTAGTTACAAAACAAGCTTTGAGCATTGTTTGTGAATAGCGCATACCAGTTTGGGACGACAAATGAGATTTGCTGTTCATGGTCAGGCCTTGGGTCACTTAATCTAGTAGCCAGTATCCGAGGATCCATAATACACCTAATCAGTGGCAGACAGTGTACACATTGCAGGGGCAATTCATTGCGAAAGGTCTCAAGGCCTACCTGACTCAGTGGCTCTATTTTGCTAAAAATCTGGTATGTGAATGGTTCACGCAGTGCTCACTGCTGGCTTTAATACCAGATGATTTTGCTGTACACACACAACAGTAGATTCTAGTATTTTTATAGAATGCCAGGTTAATGCAAACTACAACCTTTCTGCTGTATCTGCCAATTAACCTCAAGCTGCCTTTTGCAGCTCCACAGGGAACTGAGAGCTGGGGACTCCTGCCACCTAATAACTGCTCTGTCACTTCTGGCCTTCAAGTCACTTGACTCTGGCATCCCTGTAGGTAAAATCAGATATCTACTTACTGCCTCTGGGGTGTCGTAAGTCTCTGAAGCATTAAGTGCTATGTATTGTATACAGGTGGGATAAGGACAGGGGGATCAAGGGAGGCAGAAGAGGAGAATACAAGCATGTGAGGAGAGTGGACAACGGAATAGGGGATGAATAAGATTCCAGGAATGAAGAGAGGAGATGTTGCTCTTCAGAGACTGAAAAGTATTGGCTATAAAAGCATGGGATAGCAGCCCTATAAATGGAAGACAAGGCAGGAATAAAGTGATAAGGGGTGTAGTGGGGGGTAAACAAGAGAGGATTCACTCGAGTGAATACTTTCTGCTCACCATTTCCTACTAGATGTCCGATCTCTCCAAGCTCAGTGACAAGGATAGGGTGGCTGTCCCTAGCACTTGCCTTAATATTGCAGGTGACTCTGGATTCTATAGTGAAGGGACTGGAAGAATCTGAATAATGCCATTTGTCAAATGTGCACAGCCTTCCATTGGCTGGGGACCTGGTGGAGGGCATATCCCTGTTGATCTGAAGGAAGAACCTTCCGAACAGCTGTGCTTTGCTTCTGTGCCCCTTCAGATGGTGGTCCAAAGACCTCCTCTGTCCCACCCCCTATAAAATGAGCCCACTGAGTTAGCATGAGCCTTCCCAAGATGCTGTGGCCAGCCCAGTGCCTGATGGGGACCACAGTGAATGGGCATTGGTGGGGCAAAAGTGGGGTACCTTTAAAGCTGTTCACATATTGACTGCAAAATGCTGCTGGTGTTCTTAAATGACTCTGCTGCAGATAATCAGAGCATCTTAAGTCCGGTTTAGTAATGGACATCATGTAAAATTATCAATGGGATGCAGAGTTCTGAGCCTTTCATGTGGCTTTCCTTTTTCAAGACCAGACTAGTCATGGAACAAAACTGCACAAAGCAGGATAGATGCTGAAATTCCTTAACTGATTATTAACAACTTTAATCTGGTTCCATAAGTGTCTTGAGTTACTTAATCATTTGAATGGAATTTAAACCCATTTACAAAGGAAGGAAACAAATAGAATATCAGGGTTGGAAGGGACCTCAGGAGGTCATCTAGTCCAACCCCCTGCTCAAAGCAGGACCAATCCCCAGACAGATTTTTGCCCCAGATCCCAAAATGCCCCCCCCCCCCCAAGGATTGGGCTCACAATGCTGGGTTTAGCAGGCCAATACTCAAACCACTGAGCTATCCCTCCCCCCTGTGAAACTAACCATTGAACATGCACCAAATCAAATATCAAAAGTGATACTCTTAACATAAATCCAACTTTACTTGTTGAAAGGCTGCTTGTTGATCCTGATCTCCCCATAAGATGGGGTTCATTTTAACTGACCCAGCAGAGCAAAATTCCATCCCCAATCCCACTTCAGTTTGAGCATTGTGTGCCTGGGGCTTGTAAAATCTCTGGGGCAAGGACTTTATCTTCATATGTATTTTAATACATAGATGCTGGCCTACAGCAAATCTCTCCAGACAATTTGCCTGTCTCAGGACTATTGAGAGTTAAGGCTTTGTAAAATCTCTCATTAAAAGCCCTGGAAATGCTTCTTATAACACCAAAATCTGGTCTCTGTAATACAGCAGAGGCATATTCAGCTGAGCCATCTTTCCTTTGTCCCCCTCTCTATGATCCTTTCTTCATTTGATGCATGCTTCTAAAGAAACACCAGACCTTGAACATTCTTGTTGGAGTCCACCTGGTAACTAGACATATATCATGTCACCTTGGATGGTAGGTTGGGACATGGGTTACAGTCAGAGGAAGCAAGGCTCTGTGTAATCTGGATCTGGTGGAAGTACTTCTCAAATTAGAATAGCTAAAATCTTGTTGCTTTCTGCAGCACTCCTGCTGTCTGAGCCATGTTACTTAATAGACCCTCCTCCTCTTCCTTATTTTGAAGGAAGTTTTTGCTTGTCTGAGGACAAACAAGTGGAGTTGTGTAGCTTATGCAGTATCCTTTCTCTTCCTCCCTTATGCCTGACTGAATAGTGTCTTAACTCTCCGCTGGAGGGGAAACACCAAAGCTGATGATCTTGTGCCAAATAGGACTTGACACTTTTCAAACAGAGGAAACCACAAGCCATGTCCTTTCAATATCAGTTGAGTCCCTGACAGTCAATAACTTAACAAGCTGTAAGGTTCCCTCTGCCCCCCTTAGTAGAGAATGCAGTGCCCTTTCCCAGATATACCTGTGACATGCTTTACCTTGGGAGCATCCTGTAACCCCCATATTCCTAATTTTTTAATATAATTGTGATCTTGCATATAAAGCATGCCTTGTAAGGTATCTGGGGAAAGGTTATGACCTGCTGAAAGTCACTTCTCTATCCACATATGTATATCATTAATGCATATGAAGTTATGAGAATTGTTTGGTTGTCACTAAAACATGCTGCAAGTTGGGGAATCAGCCAGATATTAGCTCCCCAGAGATAACAGCAAGGAAAGTAACCAACACCCAGGCAGGGTTTCAAACAACCCATCAACCATTGTCCATCAAGGGAGCTACAATTCAGTGACTCCCTGCATGAGGCCACACTAGGGGATTGCTCAACCTTGCCTGGAGACTCAGCAATGCCCAGACATGCCTGAACTTGTTTTCCAAGCACATGGACTGAGGGTATAAAACAGAGTGGACACATACTAGGCCCTTCTCCTGCCCCCACCGACACTGCAAGCAACCAAGACACTGAGAAGAAGACTGAAGACCCCAGCAGAGGAGATTGGCCCAAGTTTAAGGAACAAGCCTGTATATTAAGGATTGCAATATCCAGCGGGGTGAGGAAAAACTGCTTCGTCTAGTTGCTGCCCAGTCTAATGGGGTTGAGAGTTTAGACTGCATGGTTGTTTTATTTCTTTTGGTAACTAACTCTGACTTTTTTTGCCTATCACTTAAAATCTAACTCTTGTGGTCAATACACTTGGTTTTACTGTTCGTCTTTACCAGTAAGTTTGTATGAAGTGTGGGCAAATCTGCTCAGGGCTGGTGTATGTCCACTTTCCATTCTTGAAGTGGTGAACCAATTAATAAATCTGCACTGCCCATCTTGAGCAGTGCAAGACTGTATATTCCTGAGGTACAGTGCTGGGAGGATGTGGCTCTGGTGCCTTTCTCTGTATGATTCATGAGTGGCTCTGGGAGCATTCATGCAATCTAGCCAGGTGTGGGGCTCCACATGCTTTTGTGCTGAGTGATCACCTGGAGGGGCTTGCTGCTGGTCACTAGCAAGGCATTGTGAAAGACAGCTCAGGCTGGAGAGAGTTAAGGAGGCACAGCAGTCTTGCATCCCTGAGGGGGATCCCATTAGCAGCGAAGTTGTCTCGATCCATGCAGGTAGGGTTCCTTGGGAGTCAGTGGGCCTCATGTAGATCAGCCTGCATGAACAAGGGCTTTATTATCTCCTTCCTCCAAACCCAGATTGCTCTTGCCAGTGCTGCTGACATGTGTACCTCCTACCATGGCTTGTTATAGCTTGAATACAATTAAAGGGAAGCATGTTGTAGCCGCTCAAATTACTGCCTTAAATAAAGCAGTTTATGGCAAAACAGTCTCCTGCACTATTCGCACCACCTGTGCTCCTGTCCTGGCCATTCCCTCTGTTTACTTCCACCGCTCTCCATGTATGCTTTAGTTCATGCTGTCTCGCCTTCCCCTATGTCTGGAACAGCCCTATGTGCAAAGGTTTCCCAGAGCTCACCTATCCCACGCACTCATCTGTGTTTATTCATCCATGGTGCCGTTAGACTGTAAGCACTTCAGGGCAGAGCGCCTGGTGTGAAGAAAATTAGTCTGAACATGATTCTACCCTCCAGTGCTGGCTTGTTCAAAGACAGTGTAAGCATTTAGTGTGGTGTGAACACTGAGTGTGAGTTAGCATGCTCATATTAAAGTGACTCGAGAAGCCAGCTCCATAGATCAAAGCTCCGTATATCAAGAGCCCACATGTGCGTGCATGTGTTGAAGGTGGTTGTACAGGGATGACTAATTTAAATCCAAAACAAGGACCACAAAGCGGAGCAGCCCCAGTCCCCTAGAAGGCCAGGCTGTCTGCATCTTCTTAACCTGCTCTATTTGATCAAGTTGTACTTGTTAATCTAGGCTAGTTTTCCCTAATTCAATGAAAGGCCGATCCCCCACGGTCACAAGGGGCTTTAACTGTGCAAAAAAAAAAAGTTTGGCATATGAAGACCCTCTTCCAGCTTAGCTCTTAGTATGACCAATGTAAGGATAGCTTGTCTGTTTTCTGTCTTGTACACTTTAAAAGCTGCTTCATAATGAGCACATTGCATCAATGACAGTAAAATGGCTGTCTTCTGTGAGAGGCAATAATACAGGTGTGATAAAGCCTAGCCCAAATGTCTGCTTTCTCTTCCAGAACGTGAGGATCGATCCCAATAGCATCGCCTTCGGTATGTGGAAAGACGTTCCTGTTCCTTTTTACCTGTCAGCCTACTTCTTTGAGGTGCTGAATCCAAAAGAGATTCGTCTGGGAGCCAAGCCAGTGGTGAATCAGCGTGGGCCTTATGTTTACAGGTCTAGTATTGCTATTGGCATAATCACCTGCATGCATGCTGAGCAGAAATGAAGCGTTCACTGTTACTCTTATTCCTGGAGTTCTGCTCTAGCTTGGTGAAGGTTTACGTGGGGCTGAGTGATGCAGATCCAGGGGGAGGAATAGCTGAAATCCATGCTAGGGCTTCTGTCTCGTACATCACTGAACCCAGACAAGGCGAGACTGGAAACAGTTTGTTTTAAGTCTTCATTTAATCCTCCAGCTCATGGCTATGTTAATTAAAACAGAGCTAGCTAAGATCAAGGTTGTGAGCAGGGCTGAGCAAACAAGGGAGCAGCTAGGAGGCACAGGAGAAAAATGCATCGTAAAAACTTAGGCTGAAAGCACTACTTTTGTTTTTTTAAACTCCAGCCAAATTGAGGTGCGCTTCTTCCACCCACCCACACACTTAACAAGCCTGACTTTTTCCAGACGTACCAGGCTCCTACCTTCTGAAATCTGGCCCTTTTAAAGGGAGCAGAAGTGTTGAGGAGTACATCCAAAAACCAATAACTCGTTGAAAATCTTGGCTTTGGTGCATTTGGAGGGGGAGGCATTAGACCAGATGGCCTCTCATTTGGTAACAGCAATCTTATCAGACATCCCTGGCACAAACTCATACCCAAAGTCAATTCAGTAGACCAAGAAAGCTTGTGTGGGAAGATTAGCTCTTTAATCCCAAAGCGTTTTTTGGTTGGGTAGGATTTGGGAGCCTGATTGTATAGACACATTGGAGTTGCCATCAGAACTGGCAAGTCAGCACTCTGCTAAAACCATGTTGACCGCCTGTAGGTTGAGATACCTTAACATGCTTTCAGTTTTGAATGGGTTTATTATGAGTCTACAAACTGAATGAATAAAGGCAAAGCTGCTTAATATAAATGTCTGTTTTCCAGCTGATTAGGATTACTTAAAGCAAATCAAGACTCTTGTCCTTTCTCTGCTGTAATTATTGGGCCTCCAGTCTTACCTGGTCCATACAATAAAAGGCTTTCTGTTGGGCTGCCACTGATTCAAAGCTGCATAATTAGCTAGTTCTCCAGAATCCCACAACGTGCCCACTTTGCATTACAAACTAAAAACTCCCAGCCCAGTGGAGCAGGTCTGTTGTACTATACTTGCCACATGAATCTTGAATTGAATCCCTGATCTTTACTTAAATCCACATGGGAATTCTGCCAGTTGGATGTGCTAGATGTTGTGCTGGTATCTGCCTTGGGGAGGGGAAGATAAATTCTTACCATGTGGCCTCACTTTTGTTGGGCTCCCCAGTGAGTAGGGTCATGCATTCCTGCCCCTTGTTAATAGCACTGATTTGCTGAATTTGTGCGAGCCAGTAGCAGACAACTTTTTTTCCCCTCAGATTGGGGGAGGGGGCAATATTCACAGAAGCAGTTTGCATTTCATTGATTGCCAACTGGTTTGGAGGGTAACTAGGTACTAATAGCAAATAGTTGCTGTCCTAGATGAGTTCCAGTAGCGATCTTCAAACAGCCACAGTGTTTCCCAGAATGCATTGGTCCTTCAGATCGCTGTCTGCTAGCTATAGACTCTCTCCACTAGCAAAGGGTGTTAAATCAAGTAGCCAGGCACTCTGCTATTCATCTTATCTCTCTTGGCCTGATTTTACTTTGTTCCCCAATTGACTCCCTTCCTTCAAGTTTCATTTCACTCTGGCTTCCTGTTTGTCTTCTCTGCTGCATGCGCTGCCTCCTGCCCTCTGCTTTTCACTCTTCTGCACAGAATTGTACTAGAGCTGGCCTTCTGCAGTTCAAGAAGTGCTTCAGTACTGCTCTCTTTTAGATCAGACTGAAAACAGCAGAGAGGTGGCCGGTTATAATGGCTGTATTCCCACCACAAGTGTCCTCCCACCCCATTTCAAAGCCAAATCTCTTGAAATGGTTCCTGCAGAATACCTCATGAAGTGCCAGATAAGCACCTACTCCTCTTGCAGAAGAGAACCTAATAGCAACTTCAGCCATGGAGTTAATGAAGCCAGAGCTGAAAGGGCACTAGTGACATGCCAGCAAAACCTTAGCAGGTTGTGTGAGCTTTGCTCTGACTCCTGCAACATGGGAGTTGGAGACATGTAATCTGGAGCTGTTGGGGAAAGTGCCCCTATGATTACTTATGCCTGGTCTTTTTAATTTTTTTTTAACTAGAGAATACAGGTATAAAACCAATATAACTTTCCATGACAATGGTACAGTTTCCTTCCTGGAATACCGGACGTTTTTCTTCCAGCCAGACCTGTCTGATGGGGTGGAAGAGGATTACATTGTTGTGCCAAACATCCTTGTGATGGTAAGACTACTTTAAACTCCAGAGGGGTATTCCTTACTCTTGTGTCTGCAGGGGTTGGGAGAGTTACCCTGCTGCAGCACCCTAAAATGACAATCTACCAGCCTGCCTTGCAAAGTCTGTGCATTCCCCTGCTTAGACTATAGACACTGGACTTAATCCAGGACAGGCTCCGTATGGCTGCTGTGGCCTACAGGACGCGAGGAACTTGTTTCTCTCTTTGTGGGTATTTTGATAGCTTTGCACAGTTGTAATCACCTGCTCTTGGGTAAGCAGGAGGGGTGATTGAGCAAAATGTGTCTCCGACAAGAATAAAGGCATTGGGTCAAGATACAGATGACAGAGGGGGGCAGCCACAAAACCCAAAATCGAGCAATCCACCTCAGACAATACTGCTCTGTTCATCCCTACTTCCAGAACTTGGAAGTGAGGAGTGGGGTTTTAATAGTTCACTCCTGCGAAAGGGGGGGGGGGGGTATAGGCAATTATGAAATTGTCCAGAATGGGTGTGTGTTTTTGGGGGGCAGGCTCAGTTCTCAAGTAGATGAGGAGTATCCTATTAAACCAATGGTGTGTTGCAGCCAGCGCTGAGGTAAAGCAGCTGGGGGAAGCCAGCATCAAATTTCTCCAACAAAGCTCTTGGACAATACAAGAGCCTCTGCTCACACCACATGGTACTGGAGCATGTACAGAAAGCATCACCTTAGCACTTCAAACTGTCCCTGGTAGAGTTGGGCCTTCTCCACAGAGGACTACTGAAAGTACCTTGGATTGTGATAATTGGTGACCTTGTTACAATGTGATTGAGTGTCACTGGGGTTTGGTTTTTTCTAAAACCAAACGGGTGTTTCCAGGGAATTGATATGGGGTGGGGTGGGGGAGAAATGCTGTCTCTGGTTCATTAGGCTTAGCTAAGCCGGGGTGAGTGTAGTTTGTGACAGTGTAAAACCGGGGGGTCACGTGGGATTTGAATGAGAATTTAGCAGAACTCGGAGCAGAAAATATTACCTCCCACTGCAAGCACAGGATACACTGTAACTGCAAAAGGCTCGAGTTGGGGGAGAACTCTCTCTGGCTTGAGGAATCCATCCTGGAGCTTCAGACCCGCTGGCTGAACAATGGAGCCGACACTAACTTTCCCTTGTTACTTGTTACCATTCACTTCCTGTACCAAATGGCATCCTGGTATCTGCTGTCTGAATCTCTCTCTACCCTAGGGCGCAGCCATTATGATGGAGAAGCTACCTCACTTTTTGAAGGTGTTAATAAGTGGCGCACTGGCTGGCTTGGGACAGGACGCTTTTATGAACCGAACCGTGGGAGAGATCATGTGGGGCTATGACGACCCGCTTATAGATGTGCTGAACAATTTTGTGCCCGGTTTGATCCCTTTCAAGGGGAAGTTTGGCTTATTTATGGATGTAAGTAAACTCGCACTTGGTAACGTTAAAACCAAGTCTTAGGCTACCCCTTTGCCAACATAGGATTGTTCATGCAGGTGAATGTCACCCACAAAGACATGTGTCTCATAACCCATCTCTTTCAAGAAGCTAAGTATCCCTGTGTTCACTTCTGCACTGCTTGCAGCCTTGCATTGAAACAGTAGTTCACTTAGCCTCCTATATTCCTGTTCCGTATTATCTGTGTCTTGCATATAGGCGACCTGATGCACAGTCTTGCTTGAGGTCCCATAGTAAGTCTGTGCCAAGACTGGGATGGAACCTGGGAGTCCTGACTCCATTCCCCTTCTCTAAATGCTAGGCTGCACTGCCCCAGCAGGGGAGGCACTTAAAATGTCCCTAGGCATACCTAGGAAGGAGTTAGTCAGCAAAGTCATTGTTAACCTGGTTAGTCTTCAGATAGTGTCCACAGAACTAAGCTTATGTAGGTAGCGATGCTGCCACATGCCGTCATCTTGCTGCATAGGATGGGTCTGGGAAGTTATTCTTCTTTCTTTTCTACAGTTTAACAACTCGAATACAGGACTGTTCACTGTGTATACTGGGGCCACAGACATCAATCAAATCCACATAGTGGATACATGGAATGGATTAAAAAAGGTAAATGTACCCTTGTTTTCTAGAAAGCAACTCTAGCTTTCTATAATGATACCTCTTTGCCTAACAACGTTCTGCTAATCAAAGTCGAGAGCTCTCTTTATGGCTGACCATGTGGTTTTTTTCTCATCTGAAGTTAAAATGGTGCCTGATGCTAGACAAAGTTCTAAGATGGGTTCTCAAATTGTGGGTTGGGACCCCAAAGTGGGTTGCGACCCTGTTTTAATGGGTTTGCCAAGGCTGGCTTAGACTTGCTGGGGCACAGGGCCGAAGCCAAAGCCTGAGGGCTTCAGCCCTGAGTGGCAGGGCTCAGGTTACAGGCTTACCTGCCTGGGACTGAAGTCCTTGGACTTTGGCTTTGTGTTCACCCCCTCCACCCCACCAGGGACTGGGGTTTTGGGATTTTGCTTTGCCCTCTCCTCCCCACCCCCCCAGGGCGGCAGTGCTCGGGCAGGCTCAGGCTTCCAGCCCCCCTTCTGGGGTTGTTCAGTGATTTTTGTTGTCAGATCAGGGGGTCTCAAACATTGCACCATGACCCACCTTCTAAGATTTAAGACTTGTAACCTAGCTGGAAGGTTGGTGCTTGGAGAAGGCAAGCTAAATAAATATTGGCTTCCTGTGAATAACACACTGACAATCAAGATAATGACTAACCAGTTCTCAGGCTTTTTTTCAAACTCTGGATATTTTAGTAAGACTAACTTGGTAGTGATGCAACTTAAAGTGGAAAAACTGTCCAGAGGCCTCTGGACCATACTAGTGCCTGTCTAATGGCCAATTTTAGCAGCCCTACAAAGTGGTGTGTGTTCTGTAGCCGCAATTTAAAGCCTGCTGTTCCCAGATAAGAAGTCGGCAATGCTAGCCTCTGATTCCCTAAATCTATTTTGTCACGAAGCACTGGTATTTATTTGGACTTTCCTCAAATATAAGAGGGCATCAAAGTCAGTTTGGAGGGGAGTGGGACTTTCAAACATAAAGATGGCACTCCATGCATGGGAAACTTGAAGACCCTCTTAACATTACTTCCCTTTTTTCATTCCCTTTATTTAAAAAAAAAAAAAAAAAAAACCCTTCCAAGCACCTGTGGAGCTCTAGAGAGGTCCTGCCACCTCTTGCTTATTCTGGCAAGAAATGACATCTCAGGAGGCACCACTGCATGAATTGTCCATCTTAAATATTGAGGGACTGGATTCCTCTTGTTGGATAGGAGACAAGGTTTACCTGACACTCTTTTGAAGGGTCTAGTTTGAGCTTTCTAGACTTGTTTGAACACTTGCTTTGCTGCTCACCAAGTAGAACTGCTGGAAGACTCGTTATTTTGAAGTGGAGGATGAGGAACAAGCAAACCACTCAGGGTTAAAATATAGAGGAAACTGTTAGTACGGCTGTTTGACTAACATAGCTGTCAGTCTGGCTTTTAAATTCCTCTTGCAACTTTTCTTGCAGGTGAATTACTGGCACTCCAATGAGTGTAACATGATCAATGGGACTTCTGGAGAGATGTGGCCTCCTTTCATGACCCCTTCCTCTTCTCTAGAGTTTTATAGTCCTGATGCCTGTCGGTAAGATTAGTTTAAATTTTGTCTTGTACGCTGTATCTGCATGTTTAACCACATGACTGGAAGTGCGAAGTCTTCAGCTTCAGAATGCAATGTTGCTGGAAGACGTGTGGTCTTGCTTAGTTAAATAGCTATCTTCATTATAACTCGCCTGTCCTCTAAAATAACACTGATTTGTAGAACTAAACTTCAGCTACCGCCCAGTGTTCAAGGTAGCGTTCTGAAGTGATCTCAGATATTCAGAGTACAGTTGTTTGTCTGATTGGGCACATCTTACCATCCAAAGATCTGCTGCTCTCAAAAAATGAGTTTGCACTGGTCTACTACCTTTTCATCAAAGGTGAGCAGATATTAGCATCTCCAAAAGGGGAAAATGGAGGCTGGAAATCATGCAAGGCAGAGGAATAGAATCAAGGCTTCCTTAGTCCAATCCCTGCTTTAGCCTGTAGACCACACTATCAAATGTTCTAAACACCTGTGTTCAAAGACTCGAACAACCTAGCAGACAAAGGTGTAGCAGATCCAATTGCTGGAATCTGAAGCTAGATAAACTCAGACTAGGAATAAGGTGCAAACTTCTAACAGGGTAAGCAACCATTACTACATCTTCACAAGGGTGGCTGTGGTTTCTCTATCACTGGAAACTTCCTTAAAAATCAGGACTGGGTGTTTTTCCTCTATGCTCTATTTCAAGCTAGAATGAATACAGGGAAGTCCTACGGCCTGTGTTAGACAGGAGGTCAGACCATGGTTGCAGTGGTGCCATCTGGTTTCAGCTTCTATGAACTCTAGGAAAGTCAATTACAGAAGTAACTTCAGGGAAGCTAGAAGTACTCTTCACTTTCTAACCAGTTTAATTACTCCAACTGCTGCCTTTGGGCTGTTTCATGAATTTAAAGGGTCTGCAGCGTGTCCCTTTTGGTATTAAGTAGTGACCTTTATTGTTAACAATACTTGGAATGGCCCAGTTGGAAGCAGTGATGCATTTCCAGATTCTATAGGTGCTGAAAAGCAAGGACGTTATTTTCCTGGCAGTAGAGGTTACCGATATTTGTATAAAGTGTTTAACATGCATTGTCTGCATCGCTGGGGCAGAGAAGTTCATTATTTCAAAACTGATTCAGTCTGCAACACTGACAACACTAATTGCATTACTGGGTAGCAGTTGCAATGCAAAACAGTAAGTTCTTGCTTATGCCAGCAAACAGAATTGAAAACGTTTGGGGTTTTTTAACTTTTCCCAGTTACCATGCAAACTAGTTCACTAAGCCAAAGGCTGTCTTACAATAGAAACTTAACATCTGATCTGTGTGTGCAGAAGGTATTCAGTAATACCAAGAGAACCTAGTGCCAAGGACACAAGTTTGGGCACCCTAGCAGTTAAGAGTCCCGAGACGTGGGTTGTGAGAATCGAGCAAGGATAATCGGTTGGCCTTATCTTTAACAAAGCAGAAAGATCCCTTTCCAAGGATGAGCAATAACCTGCAGGCCAAAGTAACCGTCCGTTTCTCTTGGAGCTCCATGCCATGCAGCAGTCACCACTCCCCTCCAAATAAATAGCTCGCTCTGCATATGGAAGCCTGTGGAGTCCAATGTGCTCCAGTCAGGTCATGGTGCTGTGGGTCCCAGTGAGGAAATGACATTGGTCACTTCCAATTCAGTCCCCTTGCCTTGTTCTCATGCTCTTGCAAACTGAAATTAACACTATGCCTATACAGAATGTTTCCCCAGTGCCTGGCATGGTATTTATGTGAACCTTGCAGGCTGTTGTCTATAGGGATCACCTGCCCTTCCTGCAGGAGGAAAAGCTTGGCTTCCTAGAAAGGAGAATGCAGGGTTAAGTACTTAATCTCCAGGCAACGGGTCAGTAACATGCTCTGAGTACTGCTATCCCAGAACTAGACAAGGGAAGAGCCCTCCCACTGGACGGACTCCGACTCCTAGAGACATGGGTGAAACTACATGAGGAAGGGGGCGTGGAATCTTCTCTGCATCCCTGTTCACTTTCCTTGAGTGCAGGGCTGCCCGGGGGGGGCAAGTGGGGCAATTTGCCCCGGGCCCCCCACAGGGGCCCCCACGAGAGTTTTTCAGGGCCCCTGGAGCGGGGTCCTTCACTCGCTCTGGTTTCTCCCTCCCCCGGAAATCTCTCACAGGGACCGGGTGCCCAGAGCTTCTTCCACTCCGGGTCTTTGGCGGCAATTCGGCGGCGGGGGGGTCCCTCCGCTCCGGGATTCGCCGCCAAAGTGCCCCGAAGACCTGTGGCGGGGGGGGGTCCTTCCGCCCCAGGACCTGCAGCCAAAGTGCCATCTGCATCCCTTAGTTATCTGTAAGAAGAGCTTTCTCCTTCCCTCTAATATTTCACTGTAATCCCTCTAGATCCATGAAGCTAGTGTACGAGCAGTCTGGAGTATTTAAAGGGGTGCCGACCTATCGCTTTGTGGCTCCGAAGACTTTATTTGCTAACGGAACAGATTATCCACCAAATGAAGGCTTCTGCCCCTGCAGGGAATCTGGAATCCAGAATGTCAGCACCTGTAGAATGAGTGAGTTGTATGTCAGTCTCTCTCCAATAGCCGTTGGAGACAGAGCTATTATGCAATGCAGTCCATTCCCTTTTCATTGCAGAGAATGCACCCTAGGCTACTCTTGTGTTGGCTAGGCTAGGCTAATCTCAAGCCATAAGCAGTAGTTTTCCCATCACTCCCTTGAGGCAAATCTCTTTATGGTCTTCCTACTGCTTAAGCAATACAGCTAGTTACCAATGGCAGCATGCCTGGGGATTTCTGATTGTGTAGCACTTTTACCCATGCTGTTCACCTGTGTAAGTAAAGTAAGGTGCAAGGAGGTGGGGAGGAGGGCCTGAAGCTTTAAAGCAAACAAAAAAGAAAATCAAGAACTGGTTTTAGGATATTCAGTCACTCTAGAATTACTAATATCAGAGGGGTAGCTGTGTTAGTCTGGGCCTGTAAAAAGCAACAGAGTCCTGTGGCACCTGATAGACTAACAGATGTATTGGAGCATAAGCTTTTTGCATGCATCTGATGAAGTGAGTATTCACCCACGAAAGCTTATGCTTCAATGCATCTGTTAGTCTATCAGGTGCCACAGGACTTTGTTGCTTTTTCTAGAATTACTACGAATGTCTATCTGTAAAGCTCAATGAAAATAGGGGACACAATACTTGGGATGCTTGTTTTTGCTCCAAGCAGTTATGCTACACCTTTAATAACTTACAAAATGGGCACAGTTCTAATTCTATTGCGTGTGTGGTTTTTTTTATTTTATTTTTTTTTAAAGATCATTCTAGGCTGTTGCCTTGCGTAAGGCAGTGATGGCCCAAGAAAAATAGGCAACAGGTCTTAATTTGAGATTGCACAACTTTTGATGGGCTGTATAGATTACCTTTTGGCATGCCACCTCTGGCAGCACTTGTTGCTCATGCAATCAGTTTTAATAACTGCTAATATCCAGATCCTAACAAGAACCCAGTGAATGTTGCCCTCTAGAACCAAGCCTTTTACTCTTGACTTGTGCTGTGTACAGAGATGGCATGGGTCTATAGGCTATACAAAAGCCCCTTCATTGTATCCTGAGCATTTCCAGGGGATTAGCAATAAGGACAGATACACTTTCATGCAAGGTTTTTGTCCTGTGTTCAAGTTGTACATCTCTAACCTGACGTGGAGGGGAAATAGTTAAGCACAATTGAAGAGAAATGCATCAGTTGGGGGCATGCAAGGAGCTAAGCTGAAGCCAAATCACCTTTCAGCTGTTTCTCTGGAGAACAGCAGGCCCCAGAAAGGTAATTGTCCAGTTTTGTGAAACCTCTGGCTTCACAATCTCCAAATGCATAGAAGATGCCTGACACCGATGTGTCATTAAATCAACATGGACCGTGAGAAGTGATTGGATTAAACTGCAGCAGGGAAAAAGTAGGTTAAGTATTAAGAAATTTTAAGCTTCACTAAGCAATGGAATAAACTGCCAGGGAAGGTATGGAAATCTCCTTCACACTCATCTGCCAAAGCAGGCTTAGGACTGATTTTCTTTCTACCCAAGTCTGGAGCATGGGGTGGTGGGCTGCTGGGGGCCGGGGGAGGGACGCAGACCCTCCAGGATCCAGCTTCCAACCCAAAAGATCTTGTCTGCATTTTCTTAGCTGGCTAACTCCTCTAAATAAACATGTTCATGCAAGCCCTCTAAGGTGACCTAACTCTGTTCAGATGCACCAGTGTTCATATCCCACCCACACTTCTACAATGCTGACCCTGTCTTGGTGGAAGCCGTCGATGGATTACATCCCAATAAGGAGCAGCATGGGCTCTTCCTTGACGTTCATCCGGTGAGCTGGCTTCAAGTCGCATGCAGGCTTTCTGGAGAGAGTGACTCTAGATGTTTTTCTGTCTAAGCTCTGCACAAAGAGGTCTGGGAATGTTGTTTTCAGTGTAGGCTCTAGACAGAGCCGCACATTAGCTGCCTGTCAACTTTCTCACACTCTGGCACTAAAACTGGCACAAGAGCAGATTCCATAGTACAAGGATTTTAAATGGTTATTGCTGAGATGCGTTTAGATAAAATGGCTGTAAAACCATAATTAAAACAAACTCACTGATCTACTTTCAGAGAATTGCAAAATACAGCATGCCAGATAGACACATCACCAGCATAATTGTGTTGACGGCTCTGGTCTAATTGCCCTGCTGGGAATGACTTCTCAGTCCGCTAAGGGGCTTTTCAAAATTAGTGAATAAAAGTCTAATATGTGTTAAGGGAGAATAAATGAGGTTCAAACCCCTTTTTTTTCTCTTCCCCCCTTCCTCACTGCACATCAAACCTCACCAAGAACCTGCACTAGGCTGTATCTAGTCAGAACTTAGCTGTTCTCTTGCACAGTCTGTCAAGACAACATACAGGTCTGACAAGAGCACCAGCTAATCCTGGAGAAATACTTACCTGGAGTTGACCGCTAACCTATTATAGTGGGTGAAATGTCGTCGTCTTCCTTAGTATCGGGCAGTAAGACTCTGCTCTGTGGTGCAAACAGGAATGCTGTCCATGAAGTTACAGAGCAAAGCCATTTGATGCTGAGAAGTAGCCCAGTGGCATACTCAAATGTACAAACAGGGCACACTTCCTAGTGATTGTGCAACAGCTATAACTGTAGATGCCCTCCTGACAGGCTGTTGTCACTACAAACGTGGAGGAATAAATACTTTTCTGCATCCTGCACTTCTTACTGCTATTGGACCCCCTTTCAACACATTTTTGGATGAGCCTGTCCTAAAACTTAAACTTAACTTAACTGAACCTTCTGGGGGAATCTTCCTTATTCTGTTCCCCTCTGGTTACTAGCTTTTGCTGGCTCCTCTTGTGACTTCGTTCTATTTCTCACCTGTTTCTCTTCCACTTCCAATGTATAATAGACACCTCCAGCTTGGTAGGCTACCAGGTCAATCCTAAAGTCCAGTTGCTGTCCTGGATCCCATATTTTATAGGGCTTCTCCAGGAAACAAGCACCCAAGACATGCTCAGTAAAGGCTTTTTTAAAGCTCTAGAGAATGCAATTTGAGGATCGCCTCCTGCCCAGCAGCTATGGGACTTACAAAGTGCAGTGGTGCTCTTACCAGAGGTTGGGTTGCAGGGCAATGAAGCAATCTTGACCCCATTAAGGGGCTGTGTTCTGACTTCTAGGTATCACTTGTAGAGCTGTTTTAAGCCTGCCTTTAGACAAATGCACAGGCTTAAAATAAACTCCTCTGGTTAACCAAAACAATAGCTCTCATGGAAGTGTCATGTTAATCTTCAGGGATAAGGAGGGGTAAGATCTTCTAGAGCAGGGGTAGGTAACCTATGGCACACGTGAACTGATTTTCAGTGGTACTCACGCTGCCCGGGTCCTGGCCACCAGTCCGGGGGGGGGGCTCTGCATTTTAATTTAATTGAAGATTCTTAAACCTTTTAAAAACCTTATTTACTTTACATACAACAGTAGTTTAGTTATATATTCTAGATTTATAGAAAGACGTTAAAATATATTACTGGCACGCAACACCTTAAATTAGAGTGAATAAAGGAAGGTTTGGCACACCACTGCTGAAAGGTTGCCGACCCCTGGTCTAGAACTAAGCAGTCTCTTGCGACTACAGCTGTGCGCCATCAGTCCATGGCTTTTACAATATTTGGGCAGAGGTAAGTGTACTTTGGCTCTTTAAAAGGAAAAGATTAATTTCCCCCCGCAATTACTTGCTAATCTGTGTAGATCATAAAATAAAGTCCATGGCAATACGGCTTAATTAAAATAGCTGTAATAAACACGAGCCATGGAGATAACACCTCAGTTGCACAATTCACAAAATGTTCTGTTGCTTCGCACTGCAAAGCTATTGAAGGTTAGTAGCAGAGGTGTGGGAAAGGCTGGTGAGGGTGGGGAAGATATTAAATAGGGGTAAGAGTATTATGCTACCCTTAAACAGGAGGCTGTAGTGATGTTACAATCCTGCTAAAGCCTTAATCTTGTTAGCTTTAACTCTCCGTGGCAACATCATTTTGGCAGATGTTTTGATAGTCCAACAGTTTGTATCTAAACACCTGTCAGTCATCCTCATGGATGTTGGCACCACTGTGGAAGTAATGTGAGTAAATGATTAGTAAGTGGCTTGAATCAAAGAATGAAACCTTGTGTGGGTGGTCGTTCGCTTGCCAAATTCCCCAGTGACAGGGCTTTTGTGCATCTTACCACCTTGACACTTAGGATATTGCCCTGCAGACAACTCATGCTCTTAAACGTCAAAGCAAGCTGACGTTGCACTAAAACTATCTTTTCATAAATTAGACTAGGATACAAACACCCAATTTCTTAATCGTGCCAACTTGCCTTTAGGCCTTTGAGTGCATCTGATGAAGTGGGTTTTAGCCCACAAAAGCTTACGCCCAAATTTGTTAGTCTCTAAGGTGCCACAAGGACTGGTTGTTTTTAGAGTGCAAGTCAGTTATTTGGCCTTGCTGTGTGCTGACTTGACAATATTGGTCTGCTACAGTGTTTCTCCGTTAGCACTACTCTATCAGTAGTAGCAGTTCTTTTGTGCCAGCTTTGGTTTTTAATCTTGTCTTGTGATTTGAGGAATGGTTTGGTCGCCCACCTTGGAGGACCCTTTCAAGTACCTTCTGAAAGCAGAGTTCTTCTGCTAAGACATCAGATTTCCCAGAAGAGGCTGTTATGATCTTCCTAGAAAACTGTTCTGTCTTCTGAATCCTGACTCGACTGCCACACCTTCTTGTCTCTGCTTAAGCACTCCCTGTAGCCCAGGCTTAAAGTGAAAAGCAATGATAGTTTGCCTCCTAAGGCAAGGTCTTCCTCAGAGCCGTTGACCCTCTTTCTGTTCTCCTTCCCTCCCCTCTTTTGCATGTGCTAGGCACTTTCACATGTTGCAATTCTGTTAGTGTTTTGGGGTTTGTTTGTTTGTTTTTAAGAGCTTTCTTCTACATGAACAGCAGGCAGTATTGCTGAGACGTGCTTGGTTTCCTGTTTTAATGCAGGTCACGGGAATTCCAATGAACTGCTCCATCAAGCTGCAACTGAGTCTGTATATAAAGAAGGTCTCTGGCATAAGGTAAGTAGCTTGCTTTGGGGATGTCCAAGAGACATGTGGCTTACATGCTGCTTCACAAATGTAATGCTGTTTGAATAGCTTCTTTGTTATAATTCTTCTGGATCCAAAAAACCAGCTCTATGTAGTACAATCTATTCACTGTCTAATCCCATTCCTCAGTTTCACGTCCATTGTCAAACCTAAACTTGTCAAGATATTGTCATAAAAATACCTCAAAGCCTAGTGCCTTTTCTCTCCAAGACATTTCTACTCAGCTGAGCTCATGAACAGACAAGCCCTACATGGCTTTCCACTGTAACGCACCATATGCAGGTATATGCCTCTTCAGTTGGCTTTCTTATTTATCTTGCTTTAGCTATTTGTGTGGACAAAACCTCTGTACCAGTTCATGGCTATGTCTACACTAGACTCCTGACAACATGGCTGTGGTGTTCACACCCCTGACACAGCTATGCCATCAGAATGCCCAAGTGCAGACACGGTGATACTGGCAAAACTGCTCTTACCGGTGTAGCTTGTTTCACTTGGGGAGTGGGGGTGGCTTCTATACTGGTGCAAAGTGCAGTTTTGCTTTTACAGTTGCATCCACACTAGGAGATATATTGGCAAAGCATTTCTAGTGTAGACATAACTTAACATCAGACTGTAGCTTTAAGAGCTTGGAATGTAGCAGTGCCTAGTCATGCAATAGTCTCCGTGTTCTGATGGCCCTGTTGCAAATGAAATACAAAGTAGACTCCCTGGGACTGAGTTCTGAAACGTTGTGTGCTCACAATTGCAGTCGGCCTTCCAAAAGCACACTCCTGCCACTCAAGTATCAAAACAAGTGGCCAGACTTCCAAACTGGGTGCTGAGCTCTTCTTGAAATCTGGTGCGATAGCACTTGGAGCAGTAGGTTACTTGCTCTTGGAGGAGGAGGTAAACTTGCACTCTCTAGACCAGTTTTATTCCAACCTCTGACAATTAGCTGAGGCAGCAACACTATGACCTACACTTCCAGTACCACATAGGTTGCCAGAATGCATTAGAACAACTCTTGGATTAAGCACAGAGGTTCCCATTAAACTCAATGCTTCCAAAGTGATCCCTTTTGGAAGTCTATGGGAAGAACCGTGGTATTTCAGATACTACAGTAATATCTGGGAAATGCTGACTGTACTTATTAAACATCAACTAAAATTCAAGTTCTTCCCCTAAAAACTAACAACTTTAAAGTTTTTTGCATCCGAGCAGTTTAATCAGACCTAATATTGCATAGAAAGAATTCACTGAAATGGGAGGGGGATCACCAACTTTTTCCATTGTCTTCATGCCTGTCAAATTTTGAAATGTCTAGTAAAAACTGACCAGCTCCTTAGAAACCATTGGAGCATAACGCTGGTATGTGTCGATTGACTGATAATAAATATAAGTGTGAACCTTTCTTTCTGTTTAGTCAAACAGGACAGATCAAGCCAGTTGTCTTGCCTATACTTTGGTTTGCAGAGGTGAGTTGGATTGACTCCCCTTGGTTGGAAAAGTAATGTTAACCATGCAGAATCTGTACCGAAAAGGAGGAAATGGAGGGGCAGTTGGAAGAAGTAGATGGTTTGTAATGAGAGCAGTGTGGGAAGGGACTAGAAGGGCAGCGTTACGTGTCTTTACTGGAGAAACTTCAACTGGAGTAAAGGTCTAAGCTGCACTGTTCTTAATTGGAACTTTGCATAAATGGATTAGAAACACTTGGCTGCACACTTAATCTCTTCCTGACTCAGTCGTGCAATTTGAGTGCGTAACCTCTTCTGATCACTTGTGTGTTTAGAAAGCATCAGTGATATTCTCGCTTAACTTCTCGGTCTAGGTCTCCCAAGTTAACACAGGTGGGCAAACGCCTACCAGCTGTACAAGCTGGAAGGGCATGCTGGGTATTTGTCACTTAATGAAATGAATAAAACTTAAGGTCGCTAGCCCAAACATTTTAGCCCCGGCTGCCTAGGCACTTATTACAAGTTAAACCTACTATTGGTAGTACAAATTCCAATGCAGCTTCTGTTTTAAAGACTAGCATTTATTTCCTTGTGGTCTGTTAACTTCTTACACTTCACTGAATTGCTCTATGCCAAAATAAGTTTTCCAAGCCATGCCTTAGAGGAAGCAGGGACACCACTAATACAGAATCGCTGTGCTGTGAACTATGATCTGCAAAACTGCCACTGAAAACTACTCTCTTCTGGGCAGAGCGGGGCCATTGAAGGTTCAGTCTTAAAGCAGTTCTACACCAACCTGGTACTGATCCCATCTGTGCTGGAGTATGTGCAATATATCTGCATCGGTCTGGGTGTCGCTTTGATTGTTGCTGCCATTGTACTGGAGGTAAAGAGACAGGTAGGAACAAGCAAATGGCAAAACTCATGGCTTAATCAACTGATGCCAACTTTCAACCTAATCCAGAAATTTCTGATTTTTTTTTTTTTTCAATTGTAGTGCTAGTTAATCTAATGTAAGATTGCTGATGTCTTAAGATGTCATACTTGATGGCCACACTCCCTGCTGCGAAGTAGGCACTAGGGGGCATTGCTCACCTCTGCTCACGTCTAACTCTGAACACCTGAAAGACTTCAACAAATGAGTGGGCCTTTTTACCTGACACTAAGATCAATGAAGCTTCTTTGTCTTGTATCTTCCAGCCCTGCCTCCAAATTCCTCATCAACATTCCTACAAGCCATTTCTGCCATGTGATAGGTGTGGGAAGGTCACTCTCCCTTCTTTTTTTGGTCTGACCAGAGCAAGTGTTGAAGTAGCCACTGATGCTCGTTAGTTATTGCTTGAATGGCTCAAAGTATATGAACACTTCCTTTCACGAGCTAAACCCCAAGCTTACTCTCCAGAAGTCTGGCTTATTATACAGTGTTGTGGCAGTTGGTCCCAGGATATTAGGCAGACAAGGTGGGTGAGGTAATATCTTTTATTGGACCAACTTCTGTTGCCGAGAGAGACAGACCAGCTTTCAAGCTCACACAAAGCACTGCTTTAGATGACCTCGAGCTCAAAAGCTTGTCTGTCTCTGTTCATAACAGAAGTTGGTCCAGTAAAAGATATTCCCTTGCCTAGCTGCTTCTTAGCACTGAGTGACTTCCCTATTTAAGATCACTAGGTGTCTTAGCAGTGGGGTTTGCTAAACCTCCTAGAAGTCTGGACTGCAACCACTTTCTGTAATGGCTGTGATCCTTTGCAGTGGGTAAAATAGACTGGAATAGGGCCAGGAGCTCACTATGTTCAATGCAGAAAGCAGGAAAGGAGCGGGTGAGCTGCTTTCTCCCTCTTCTTTCCTGGATCCCTGATTCCTATTCCCCTCCTGCCCCTTCCCCCAGTACCAAAGGCAGCAGTATGACAGTAGTTCAGATTCTAGACTTCAGACTCCAGCAATGGATTCTGTGCATTTAGCAACTTTAGGATATTTCTACACTGAATTTGGTTAGGTCGACTTACAGCCACCACAGTAATTACTACAGTGGTGCATGTCCACTCTACCTTCCTTGGGTTGGTGGTCTGCATTCTCACCAGGAGCACTTCCACCAACCTAAGAGGGGCAGTGTGAGGAGCTGAGAGCCCACCAGCTCCTGATAAGCTGCCCTCCCCACCTCTCCATTCCCTACTGGGAGCAGGGGCCAACCCATGTAAGTAGCAGTGTTTACACAGACACTGTCGCCCTAACTACACCAAAATAAGCCTCTCATGCAGGTGGAGTAGTTATGCTGGTGTAGTAAGGCACTTACGTGGGTGGGACAAGGCTGTAGTGTAGACATGGACGTAGTTATGTCGATGCAAGGCTGCTTACGTCGATCTAACTGTAGTGTAGACCAGGCCTTAGTGACTCAAGCTAGCTCCCAAGTTCCTAACAAGTCTGTTAACCAGTGTACATATGCAGTAGTTCCTCCCAGGTACACTTAAGATGGGAAAGTTCCTGGGGCCCTTTCTCTTGGGGAAGATCATCAAGGGGTATTGAGAATCTGCTGTTTACTCAGAGTGCAGCATATAGGGTACTTCAACATGAGTGGCCTTGGGACTTAGAGATAGTATGGGGTGATCCCACTCCTTTACTGTGCTGGAGTAATCTTGAGGATTGCTGTGTAACATGAGGATAACGCATGAGAAAAGATGCCAAAAGTTACTGCTTTAAACCCTTGATAGTGACATCTTTCAACTTTGGCCCCAAAATGTGCACCTGGAAAGACTCCAAATAGTCCGTGTTTGCTTTAAAACAGCCTCCTGGTTATTGACTAGCAAGTTGCGTGTGTACATACTCCTCCCAACTAGCTCATTTGAATCTGGCTTTAAATCCCACAACTTGATACTTTGGCTCAACTTGCCTGCGATTGCGATATCTGCAACAGAGGCCCAAGCAGATCCTACTTTGCCCTCCAGTCCTTAAATCCTTGAAACAATCATGACTTCTGCATGCACTGAAGAAATGGCAGGCTTTTCCTTATCCCACTTATCTTAAAATGGGTTTGAATATCAGCAGTTAACTAGTTGCCAGGGTTTTCCAAGTGGTGAATAATTGGATTTAAACCAAGCCACACGGCAGCATAATTGACTTGGGCATATTATTTCCAAATCCCTTTGTTGCAAAGTGAGCGTGGATGAACAATTCCAAAGGAATACCAGGTCTGTAATCTTAAAGCTAAACCATTTACTGCATAGTGAAACTGATTCAATAGTGTTTGATTCACTTGATGGTTCTCTGAAGTGATTTAGATTAGTAAATTAGCTGGGATAAATGATGATCAAAACTATTGTACAAGTGACTGACCTGTTAGTAGTGAGCGCCATTATGTGAAAAGCAAAAGTGCTGCTATTCCTTGGCATAAAGTGGGAACCACACGATTGACTTTGATCGTACTTTAACAAGGAGGCTAATTAACCATAGGAAAATGTAACAAGGGTTGTGGGTGTGTTCTCAATTCCTGGCATCCTTTAAATCAAGGGTGTGGTTGTTTTTTTTTTTTTAAAAAGGCTGTAGTTTGAAAGGAAATATTATGGGGAAGTTCTATGGCGTGTGTGAAACAGGCAGTTAGACTAGATCAATGGTCCCCTCTAGCCTTGGAATCTATGAAACCAGAAGCTACTCCACATTTATGCTGGTCTGAGACTTTACACCCCTGGTCTATCCAGCTCTTGCACCCTTAGATGGAGGCGGGGCTTTGAGCGCAGAGCAAGGAACCCAGTTAATTCTGTAGGGAAGCCCAGCCCAAAAAACTTCCTGTGGGGGTGTTTATGCAGGGCAATTGCAACCAGTGTATTGCTGTCAGATACACTGTCTCACAGCTCCTTCCAGTGGCCACTCTACAGGAGTTGGTTTTAACAGGGACACCACAACAGACCCTAAAACATGGGTATCCTCTACAGGGAGTACTTTACCAATGGGGATTCAGTATAGGGTCAATGAACTCCAATTGGCCACTTGCATGAATGGAGGCCTCTGGTAGCAAACTGTGAATACTGATCTGCAAAAGAGAATCCTAGGCACAAGGCAGTTGCAATTATCCATTGGTGAGCAACTAGTGTTGCCAGCTAAGCCACAACTGAGCCTGTATTGGTGCTACACAACCAAATGTGACTTCAAGAAACTTTCTTCTTACCCACTGAAAAATGAGTGAACAAAAATCACAGCAGAGAACCTGGAAGTGGCCCTATAAATTTGTAGGGGAATCATGTTGAGCATTTAGGGTTACGTAACTACATAGTGATCAATAGATGCATAATACAAACTGCAACACAGGTCAAAATAAAAGCTGCATTTAAGGTACATTCTTGATTGTTCTAGTGAAGTGTTAATAATCAGCTCTTAATAGATTGCTTAATCAACCACAGTCCTCCCTCTGAAGAGCCAGAATGCTCTTGACTGAGTGCCTGTGGTTAAGGCAAAGGCTCTAAATCCATCTGTGATCCATTATGAAATCTCCTTAAATTCTTGCAACTGCATATAAAATGTACTTCATTTCCCAGAGCAGCTTTCTAGAGGGAGCACTGTTGCTTACTCAACCTCAATGAGATACTGGAAAATGTTAAATAGTCTCTTAAATGCAAAGTTAGATTCTGGATTATAACTTGAGCCAATTTAAAATGGTGTCTGTCTGTCCCACCAATCCAAACAAAAGCTTTAAAAACAACAAAAAATCCCCCCCTTGCACAACCACAGCAAAGTTTGCATGCAGTGACGGTGTGCGACAATCCCAATCCACTGAACAAACCCTTTTATGTTTCATTAGAAGTCTCTCAAGAGTCTGAAATGTGAACAGACCATTTTAAAGATGGCTTGGTACAGATTGTTGTTCTTTTAAAATTAATAAAGTTGTAGCTCTAATTTAAACTCCGTGTAAAGAACTAGAATTTAGTAACTAAGTAAACCATGATTACAACTTAAACACAGCCACCCTTTTTCAAGTGGAAACATCTTCCAAATGTCTTTTAAAATACAACATAAACTAGCCTGATTATTTTCTAGGAAAAATGCTTTTTATTTTGGAGTAGCAATAAAAAGACTAAAGAGGCCGACCAGGCCTTGTCCGAAAAACCGTTGACATCAGTTAAGGGGACGGTGCTGCAGGAAGCCAGCCTGTAGGTGGGTACCCAGTAAAGGTAAAACTCTTCTCTAAACAATGCTAACTTGATAAATCTGCTGAAATGTTGCTTAAATCTATCAAACTACATGTGAACATTGAGCACTTTAAACTACACGCCCTCTTGGTAAACTTTATTCATGCTTCGTGGCAATAAGCTTGCTTTGGGTTAAACTAGGAAATGGGAATATTGCATGCATTTAGATCACACTTCATTAGGTGTTGGGAATAGAAGGTGCAGGTAACTCTTCTTTCAAAACCCCCTTCTTGGTGGATTCATGGGAAGCACTATCTGCAGTCCTGGAGGTGGGTGCAATATTGGCTAGATGTATGTGACGGTTGGCATGGAGGTGAGGTCCTATCATCTGTAAGAACTTTTGCTTGCTGGGGCATAGAGGGGGGTAAAATCAGCAATGACCTACAAGAGCCTGGGTGACACCTGTGGATCTGCCTCACTTCGGCCAAATCTGAAAATGAATTTGGAGACCAAAACTTGTTACTCTTCAGTCTTAAGTGTTATAACAGATACAGCCAACACCAGTCGAGACTAAGCAACACTTTTAAAAGCGGTGAATTAGGAATGGATTGATTAAAACTTTCTTGGCACATGCTAAATATTTTTAGCTTCTATATCAAGGTGTTGAACTGTTCAACCTTTTAAATGTGCGCTCGCTTTGTGGATCGAGATGCATACTCCAGTTAAAGGCCCTGTAATCCAGAAAAGAGCCGTTCCTAAAAGGGAGTCTAACACACACGCTTAAGTACTTTCCAGGTTGAGCAGCCTGAGATTGCTTAACCTCACTTGGGGTAAAAATCTCCCAGGAGGGGCCTCTCCTGGGATTCCATGAGGTCCCGGTGGGAGCTCTGTACAAATATGGAGCGCCCACATGGAGCTGAGAATACGTCTCTCATTAGGCAGAATAGAGGGTTGTATTGCTTCTGATCTTTAGACTTAAAGAGTACTCTGACAAGATGTGGCCCAGAATTACCAGTTTGACTATTTCATACCACTTACATACATTAGGATTGCTCTTACTTTTCTGTAATAAATGAAGTCAACCACTTCCTAAAGAATGAGTCACCAGGTCACTCTGTTATCATGCATGATGCTTACTTTGGAAAGCTTTTGGGGTTAAGTTGCCATACAGCTTGTTTGTCTATGCAAAAGGCTTTTGCAGTAAACTTTCATTGGCAGGATGGAATAGCCCAGGAATGGACCAAGTGCTGTAGGTTGCTGGGGTAATGTATTAATTAGAATGCCTGATGTATTTACTGTCTCCATTGAGATGCTACTGTGGTAAATGCCAATGTTACACCCCTCTTGAAACCTGTAGTTCTTCAGATTTTTTCATCCTGTCTTTGTTTTGAAACCTCTGTCGAATGTTCCGTGATCAAATGGACCACATGTTGGTGCTCTTAAGCATTTACTTCTCCCAAGGGCAGCAATAAACACTGGGATGGACAGTAGCTGTGGGTTAATAAACAGCCAGTTTCTGGTCTCTGAATGGGACATGTTGTGGGGGAGCAACTGGCTCCCCCTTTGTGGGTGTCACTAAACTGCAGATTAGTCGGGAGTTTTTACATGATGACCAATTCCAGTGCTGAACATACGGTCAGGTAGCCTATGTAAATCTTTAGTCACTGGGTTGTGTGATGACCAGTGCTGGTGTCTAGCTGCACCCTGAGTCACCTGTCCTTGCTTTTATTCATTCAGAGAAACGCCAGAGAGAAGAGCCCACGAGAGCCAGACCCACAGACTGAACCATCTTGGTCTTCAGAAACAACACCACTCCTTCAAGACGCTAGTAAAACAAACCAGACCAATGCTGCTGAAGCCTGAAGTGCCGATCTCTTACAGGAGGGTGATTCCCACTGGTACCTGTGACTGCTTAGGGATCAGACTCACTTTGGGTCCATTGGCAGGATCCTAGAAAGGAGATGCAGAGTTGGGTAAAATAACTGATTCTGAACAATCTTGAGAGAGGCACAAAATACTCTCTGAGGCTATTGAACTGTATTGCCACAGCTCAGACTTCCTGCACCAAGACACGAGATGAGGATAAAACCAGTTCAGTCCTAGCATTTGAAATACAAAATATTCAACATTTGTTGGCCTGGGGCTGGCATGGGCTGAGACCTCTCACCTGCTACTTTTAGCCTGGCAGGGATGAAGAATACCTGCTGGCTAATCCCCCTGAAGAGTCCTTTCCTCTGCCCACATAGTGTCTTTCCACCTAGAAGATGAGAATCCTAAAAGAAATAGGCACTTTAATAGCTAATCCTGTAAAGCAAACAAGGTTTACATGTGGTGTAGAAATGACGACTGGTTTAATATAGGAAAATGTCTGTATTTAACAACCTGGGCTGCTCAAGGCTTATGGAGAGGTGCTTACTAAATAGATCTACACTGGCTGACGTTCACACCCGATTTGGGAGAACTAGGGGGGATGGGTTCACTTGCTCAAGTTCACTGAGTGTGGAAATCAGTTCACATGCCACATATCTTAAGAGACGTATGCTGCCAACTTTTTTAATAGACCAGTATTAGGCTAGGCAGCCATGTACAGGTGTAAGATTCAAGGTTGTGATTGCGGTTTTGGAGGGGTGCTGCTCTAGACTGAAGGCTCATTCATCACTGCTTTTAAAGTGTAGTGGGTTTTTCCAAAATGAGCAACTTGGTTTATCTGGCTAGTTGGTTCCCAAGTGCCATTGTTTAGACACGTGGCAGTGGCTCTCATTTTGATTTTTGCTAAAGCAATATTGTTTAGCTCCCTGGCTATCCTGCCCGCACTTCTGTGGTGCACTCATGCAGAAGCCACTGACTTTTAAACTTGTATGGTGACCACTTACTCTTTACAAGTCTTTAGTTTTTCCCTGGATTTCAAATTAATCAGAGCTCTTCTACCTACACAGAGCCAACCAGCTGCATTGCATTGTTCCACACATGACCTCAGACTCTAGTAGAATAATGAGAAATGTCTTTAAGCATGACACTGTAAAATGTCACCACAGGTAAGAGCTATTCCAGAGCTGCTCCATTCCCCAATCCAATGAGATTTCTTCCTTGCAGTGTGACACTTGTGCTACCACGTAAGGATGGGAACTGAAAATTAGCTGGTAGAATGGGAGGCAGGTCACAAAACAGCCACGAGATCTTCTTGGCTGGAGTGTAACAGCAGAGTGAAAATAGTCATTCTGTAGGTAGTGTGTTCCCTGCAGCTCTCCACCCTGTAAAGCCTTTGCCACGTCGGGCGATTCCATAACTTAGTGGGTGGCTCTGAGGGCGCCTTAAATGCTGCAGACCAGCAACAGCTGAAATACACTCGAATAGTAGGAAAACCCCTCCTGTGGCTTAAGCTTTGCGGTGCGAGTACTGATGGCAGCAAAGGCCTTTCCTATGTGAAGCACAGGGCTGCATGGGCCACATGCAATGTAGGGCTTCCAGAGAAGTTGAGGATTTCTTTTTACCATGCAAATTGCTATTAACCGCTGTGCCCCAAGGCTGCTTGGATCAGGGCTCTGAGAACAGACTCTCAGTGGGCTGGTCTTATGGCTCTTGTGCTAGTGCTGGTATGGTATATTGAGGGACATATATCGAGACACTAGCTTAGATCTTAGACACTTGGCAAATGACTCATAGGGTTCATGCACACCCCACCTCCGATCTCCAGCCAACTCTGCATTCTGTCAAGCCATAGTTGGACTTCCCTAGTGGAGCAAGTGTATGGTAGCTTCCCTTTTCGGTGCTCTATTGGGCTATTACCCCTCTTTCCCCCACCACCACCTTTCTGTAGCTAAAGCTTTAATACCAGTGATGGCTGTGCCAGAAGCCTTCCTGGGGTAGCCTGAAATGGCGTAGCAGGCAGTAAGTTGGATTAGGAAAGCTAGCTGAGGAAAACTCCCCTTGCCTGTAATACAAGGACAGTAAAGCTTGAAGGCTGAGAATATCAAAGCATTAGGGGCACCCGCAGAAGCCTTGGCCAAAGCATAGTTGTTGGCCTCTGCTCAGAATCCTGAGACCATCCATGGCTGTGTTTCATCTGTCGCTTGTGGGGCTTCTGAGGCCACCTTCTTAAGGGATAGGTGCCATTTGATGCACTGTATCAAATAGTGGAACTTTTAAGTGAATCCTCTCTGGCTGCTTCATTCCCTTAATGGAAGGTTCTTCCCAAAGTCCCTCCTGCATCTTGCTGCTGTGTTTTGGGGTGGGGGAGAAGGGAGCCCATGTGCTAGCTGGATAACACACGGATACTTGTAGGTAATCAGTTAAATCATAGTAGTCAAAAATGATCTGTGGACTTGTGTCTAAACCCCCCACCCTCTAGGGCGCTGAGGCTAAGTGGAACACTGGGCACAACCAACGGGCGCATGAGCTAGCGATGCCTGAATACAAGCAGCTCTAGTATGGGTCAAGACTGTGTCCATAAAGTGGATTCCAAAATCTGCCAAACACTTGTATGTGAGTCATTAGTTAAGACCTAGCTTTTTATAATCTGATGGCAGTTACCAAACGGGATATTAGACAACTGGAAAACTTTAACTATCCAATAACCATCATTTGGATTATAGGTTGCCTTGAGGGTTTTATAGATCTCTTAACTGTCTGTACTACTGAAGGGTGTGAGGTGCTGGTGCTGATCACTCTCTCCTTTCTATGGGGAAAAATGCTACTTTAATACAAACAGACTAACACTTAAATGCTAGTAGCAGGGAAAGTTACTGAATCTGCGTGGAGAAAGATCGAACATTTCTAAAGTTGCAAACTCCCAAGAAAGGCCTGCACTTTGCATTGTGATGTATGTCTTACTATTTTTGAACAGACTCTTCCCTTTCTTAGCACTTAGAAAAAATGAAACTTCTTTCAAGAATACATCTAAAACTGTTGTGATAACTTTCCTCTGTTTTCAGGCCAAATTGTATGGCGAGGAACAAAGGTTTTATAGTGTAATCACCCAGGTCCAACTGCTTAAGAGCAAAATAAAATGTTCCCAACTCAAAGCTGGACTCTTTCTTGAGGTGTATAAATAGTGGTGTTAATATCACACATAGCTGTCACTTTTGGATGTGACCTGTGGTTAGGATGTGACATCTGTGCACAGGTTCCAACATCAAAGACCGCATCTAACTTTGCTCTAACCTTCTGTTGAGGGGCCTATTTCCACCTCCCACCCCTGCCCTGCCGCCTCCCCGGCTGCTTCGAGTGGGGGAGGGAGGAAATGGAAAAACCCTACCCCCATCTTTGCCAGTGTAGATGCAGCTAAAGTCCCACCAGTGCAGCTGGGAGGGGCTAATGGCAGGGCGCAGGTGTAATACGCTTCCCTCTGTGGATGGCCCAATCCTATAGCAAGTGGCCTCCTTCCCTAGCAGCTCGTTGAAGGCTGAGGTGAGTGTCTGTCAAAGCAGGGGTGAGCAGTCCCCAGCCTCCAAACCGCTCTGCAAGTCAGGGTGGGATTGTGTCCTTCCCTAAAAGTCCAACAGGCCCCCAGAGCAGGGGAAGAAAGGAGAATCTAACTCTTCCAGGGGTGAGGGCCTGGACCCTAGGGCAAAAGCCTTTCCAAGTATCCTGCCTTTCCTAGCTCCATCTCCCCTCAGTTGTGCCAACTCACACCACTCCCAAGGCCCATGATTTTGGCAGGGCCTGGAGCCAGTCTATGGCTGATGCTCAGGGTAGAGCTTCTTGCATCTCTGAGCCCTCTCCCTTCCCTTCCCACCCCACCCTCAGGAAGGGAGAGGCAGCTCACAGTGGTCCCAGTCCTCTCCCCACCTGTGAGCCATGGGGACAGGCCAGGTGCTTTGCTCCTGCCTCATCTCTGCAGCCCCAGAGCTGGGAAGGAAAAGGGCCTGGGTGGGAAAAGCCTCTGGAGCTGCTCCTTAGCCTGGGAGAGGGGACCATGTTGGAGCCTACCCAGGCCTGGGAGAAGGGGCTGGAGAGCCCCATAAATGGAGGAGGTGAGGGTGATGGGTGCTCATGGGGCCAGAATTAATTGCTAGGCAGCAGGCACGAACATCCCATTACCTGGCACACTGGGGAGAGTGAGCAATGCTTGTTGTGACCTGCACACACGGGGATCAGACTGGGTGTGGGGGAGGTCAAAAGACAGAACAAGAACGACTGTGTCCTCTCTAAACAAAATCTTTGGGCAGGGTGCAGGAGGCTGTGACTCAGACGTTTTAATCTCTCGAGGTTGGCAGCAGTGGGGCCGTGCACTAGTGGCAGGCCGGCTCCGGTCACGTCCCCCAGCGGCATTCTGAAGTCTGATGCAATAACAAAGCTGGGGCCCTGGGCCATGCGGGTGTTGGGTGGCAGAGGTGGGACAGCCGCACCTCGCCACCAGCACTGCTCCTCCATTGGAACTCTATGGCTAGGACCTGATCGTTAATTGAACAAGGTCTGTGAATTACAGTTCGTTAGCTCCAGTCTTGTGCACTAACAGGCTTTAGGCCAGGTCCCCTCTGTGAGAGTGGTGACCCTCACCTGTGGTGGTGGGGGGTGGACTCCAGCTGGGGCTCTCCAAATTGAAGGAGTTGCTTTAACAAAGGAAAGAGTGAATTGGGAACAGAAGCTTTATTAAAAGTGGACAACTTTAGTCACGGTGCAAAACTCCTCATTAAAGTGACATTCAACAGCTAATATTTTATTTTTAATTCTAGCCCAACCCTTCCCCTGGTAAAAATTGTCTGCAGCCCTGGGATGGGATCAGAGCAATTTGAGGTGCAGCAGCAGTAGTGGCAATCCACCCTCTTCTTTGGGTGGGCATCAGCTGTAGGTGGGTGGGGCCAGAGTCAAAATCCTTGCTGCTCCTGGGGAAAGGCAAAATACTGGCTGCCTGATGTGTGGGTCCTTCCCCATCCAGGGCTATAAAGGTAACGCAGAGAGGGAATGGGGTGCAGGGCACTAAAGATGATGTTTAAACAGTGGAGTTAGAGCCATTGCATTGAAAGCACTTTAATATCAGTGTGTAACCATATCACTGTAATGCCTTTGCTACCCCAAAGCAACCTGATCATTTAAAATAACTCTCTCCCTTCTGTGCATATTGGTCCCTTTCTGCTCCTACACCTTGTCTAAATTTAAAAAAAAAAAAAAAATTTTTTTTTTACTGTGGTAGCATAGCAAAATTGGCACCCCCCTCCCCCCGTTGATGTGGTTATGTGTGTCTATAAAAATTCTTATAATATATGGAGATATACCTATCTCATAGAGCTGGAAGGGACCTTGAAAGGTCATTGAGTCCAGCCCCCTGCCTTCACTAGCAGGACCAAGTACTGATTTTTGCCCCAGATCCCTAAGTGGCCCCATCAAGGATTGAACTCACAACCCTGGGTTTAGCAGGCCAATGCTCGAACCACTGAGCTATTCCTCCCCTACATTAAGCTAATGTACCATTTGCTGAAGCAAAATAAGCTATGCTGTTATAAAATCCCTTATAGTGAGTGGTATAACTGTCTGCATGAAGGCTTTTTCCAGCATAGCTATGTTGGTGCAAATAAATAATATATATATGCACATGCACAGATCACACCCCATAGTGATAGCAGTAAAACATTTTAAATGTAGACTAAGCCTGACTGTCTTTACACAGGCGGTTTCATAGCTGCTATGGGGGTAGAAATAATGGCCGCTAAGCCCATCTACTTACAGGGCTCCAGTAGCTTGAACCATATGCCCAGCTTGGCATTGTTCCTGTGCCACGTGAGTTGTGTATCGGAGATGGGGAATATTAATTCTCCAAAACGGATGCAGTGAGACGGCTCTGCAAGCCCGCCATTCCTTACACTCTTCTGGCCCCATCGTAAATGGTACTTGCAAAATTTGCTGTGATGTTCATTCACCCTGCCCCCAGAAAGCATCCGCCCTCCTGCAACCAGCTGAATTTCCTCTGATTGTTTGAGGTCTGTCATTCTGGGATGCATAAAGCCACCACGAGCACTTAAAAAAACAAACCAACACTGCTTAGCAACAGTCACAGGGACAGTCTGTCACCATCTTTATTGTGCCAAAGTTCTGAGAAATACCATGCTCACCCAGTCTCTGCATTCGGGGTGTGTGCGGGAGGGGCAGGTGATTGACAAACCAGGCAATGGGGCCACCTTATGCTTTTTTTTTTTTTTTTGGCAAAATGTCCTGTGGATGGGAGCATA